AAACGTCAGGAAGAACAACCTTCAGAACATGGCCAAAGAGCCCGAAAAACCCACAACAATCATCAGATCCCAGCCATGAAAGCCTTTGAGAATACATTTTAAACCATAGTTGAGCCTCTCTCCCATTCTCTTTATGTAAATACTTGACAGTAATTTAAAAAGAGAAGCCTTTGCAAAGCTGATGACCAGTGCATACTTTGTACAGTAGGAACACAGTATCCCTGGGGGAGAGATTCCAAAGCCCCTCCCCCAATGCCAAAAACCGTGGAAGTAGTCAACACTATACATAGCATTGTCTCTTCTAGTGGCTAGTTGTAGTAAATTCACTGTGGAACATGTATTTATATGTATTTCTGTGTTTTTAAAATTTAAAATGTTCAGTCAGCGGATATGTGACTCCACAGATGGTGATCCAGTGAATAGGAGGTCCTACTGTAATACCAGATGACAATGTGGTATACTTGGCATAAGAGAGATAAGCAACTAGGTGACCTCCAGATGTTTAGACTACAGCTGCTAGTGGCCTTGTATTGTCTTAAGGATTATCCAGAACTGCTGGATAGTTCAATTCTTTACTGTGCCTCCTTGCCAAGGGCTGGACTTGATGATTCACAGGGTCCCTTCCAGCTCTGCCGTTCTAAGATGATTACTACCTGTAAAAACACCTCTTTGACTCCCAACGGGCAGCTTCAGAACTCAGTTCTGAAACTGACCTCTTTTTTGCCTTAAAATATTTGTACTCTTTTTTATTCCTGACAAACAAGTACATGTTTATGTTTTCAGCTCTCAGTGACCGAGTGCAAAACAAAACAATCTAATTTGCAAACTACAAGTGGCATAAAGGGATGCTATGACAACCAGATGTCATTTACCACTTAAGGAGTTCCCTTCAATGACATGCTTTCCGTAATATATAAATTGACACCAAGCTCCAGACCAAGCAGGCGACTAATTTGGGAATCAACCATGCCAGCCTTTCCCGTTCTAGGATCTTGCAGGTGTTTGGACTCCGGATCCTTGTAGCAATGGTCAGCATGGCCAATGGTGAGAGATGACAGAAGTTGCAGTCCAACCCACCTGTGGCACAAATTGGGCACACACTGGGGTTGGATCACTGTGACATATTGAATGGCGATGGAAATGCAGTCATACCACCAACCCTGCTTAGGGGCAAGAACTACCCATGTTGATTGACGGATCAGAATTGCTCCATACAATTGTATTGTAGAGGCTCTCAGTACCTAAGGGTCAGGGGCCACACGGTCACATTTTCCCAAGATGTTTAATTGAATGAAGGTGGGCTGAGCTGGTGCATTATTTAATGTTGAACTATGCATATTTATCAGGACAGTTCCAGGACCTTTGCCCTTAAAGGGAACTCAAAGCCACATGTGCTGCCTAGATCCAGATCAGTAACCCTGTTCTGGCAGTTTTTGTCTTCCGTAGAGTTGAGTCTTTTATAAAACTAATACGTGCGAATTGCTCATTAAGGAGCAAGCTGTCTTAAAATACTTTGCATTTCACAGAGCTCTTGACCATATATATTGCTGACCGAGAAAATCCAGGATTACACCTGGGATCATAGGAGCAGGGAAGCCTGATAGCAGGTGACAGCTGACGTCACAACCCCTGCCAATCAAAAAGACCCCGCGCTCTGATCCCGTAAGCTCCGGGATGTTTATTTCGGAGCTGCTTCTGTTCAACACAGTGGCACCGACCAGGATATGCTGGCTGTATACACATTGGAAAGAACCCCGTCGCTTTTGCGGGTTTTAAAAAAGACTTTAAATTTAAACCTCATAAATTAAACCGGAGAGGTTCCATTGATAAAACGGATTTTTTTAAAGAGCATTTTTGGTTCTATCAACTGGCAGAGTTGCTATGTTTTCTTTCTTAGCTCTGTTTTTAACAACTAAATCACAGGCAGAAATTAAACAGATGAAGTCCATCCCAGTTAGGAGGGAAAGGAACGGGAGAAGCATCACCGGACGAGCGTTTATCTGTCACTCTTAATGGTATAATAAGAGCTTTGGTGGAGAAGTTAAAAGGGGTGGCAAAACCTATCAGCGGTTTTTTAAAATCTTCCTTATGGGGCAGCAGAACAACCCTCCCAGCTCAAGAGTGGGGAACATGTGCCCCTTCAGATGTTGCTGGACTCCAACTCCCATCATCGGCTGAGTTGCTCGGGGCTGATGGGAGTTGTAGTCCAACCACCTCTGCAGGAACACGCGCCGCTCCCTCCCGCCGACCATTTCAGCGGGGTTTCAAGCGGCTGATCCCGGGCTTCAGATGTCAGGGCTGCAGTCCCACGAGTTTCGCGCGAGGAGGATCACAAGAAAAAGTCCCTTTTTTGACGCCAGCCGGAGCTGGTTGGGCAGAGAGAGAGAGAGAGAGAAGGAGGAGGAAGGAAGGCGCGTGTATGTGCTGGTGGGACCCAGAGAGACTCCGCTTTCGGGCAGCGTTGCCCCTTTAAGGCCCCCCTAGAGGCCGAGCCGAGAAAGGGAGCCGAGTCCGATCCGGAGCCAAGCCCTAGTGTTCTTCCCGAGACCACAACCGCGGATCGCGCAGAAAGGGGGGGGGCTTTGGAGGTCAGGGTTTCTCTTTCATCCCGGGCAGATTCCGCTCCAGCCTCCGAGAGGGTTCTGCAACTCGAGCAGGTGAGTGTGGCTGCGGCAGATCTTCCCTCCGTCCATCATCCCCTCCCCCTTTAATTGTGGCCAAAAAAAGAGAGAAGGCGCGCGTTTCCATGGTTATACAATCTGATGCTTTGATGCCCTCTTCCCCCCTTTTCCCTCCGCCTCCCACCCTCTTCCTTCCATCTCTCAAGCTCCCGGCCCCGATCCCGGGCTTGTCAATTTCAACCGTGGCCGCACTTGTTTCCCCGGTGGAGCACGGAGTTATGAATCAATTTCGTTTCTGGCGCGGGATGATTCTTGATCCTTGCTTTCCCACACCTTCTGCCTCTCCCTCTCCTTGGAAAGAGAGTCGTTTCTGAGTTTACGCTGAAGATCGCTTTTTTATTTAAAATAAAACTACACCGACTCCTTCTGCTCTCTCTTTCCCCAACCACGCCGCCTTTTGGTGCTCTTTTCTACTCCCTACTAGGCGATAAATATTTGCTGTAATTGCCGTTCCTCGTTGTTCCCTGTTTCATCTCCTTGTTTTTTGATCAGCCTGGCGTGTGTCAAGCTGTCTTTCCTGATTCCCAAACATCATAGTTCGATGGAACAAAATGGTTGATGCTCGTCCCAGATCATCCTATTCCCTTAAGGCTCGGGTTTTATTCCACAGCATGACACAGCTCTGCTCTTAGGGCAGAACATCTTCATATTCTTATTGTCATGATGTAACAGGGCTTCTCTTAATCCCTGTGTTTTAGTAGCGGTGAGGTTGGGACACAGGTGGCCCCGTCAACTGGGGGATGGTCACCCCAATATTTAGGGGGAGTGCCTCCCTTGCCTCATTTGTAAAACATCTATAGATTGAAATAGGGCATCTTCTCCATTCTGACTCCCTCTCACCCTAGTTTGGAACACATGCTTAGAAAAAAATATCAGAGGACCTGAAAATACGTAAGTCAGGTCTAGAAATTAGATTTCATTGACGTAAAAGCCTTTGTATAGTAGGAGAATTAACAGCAATGCTTTTAATAATTAAATAAATAAAAGTCCAATATTCCCTTTCTAATTTGAAAAGATCCTACCCTTTTATAATCTCCTCTAAGTTCCCAGTAATTTTTAGAGGTAGCTGTGTTAAGAGCCAGTGTGTTGTATGGGATGTAGTGAGGTAGGAAGACTCAGGAGACCTAGGTTCAAAGCCTTGCATGGTGGCCATGGAAACTTGCTGGGAGGTGACACTGATAAAGCCACTCCCTATACATCTCACATACTTTGAAAACCCTGTTAGGGATGCTGTAAGTCAAATGCATCTGGATAGCACATAACATGTTAAGAGAGCGTGGTTGATCCATGCTCATAGAGAATGCTTCATGATTTGAACCCAAGTCTTCCTAATCTTGGTCCAGCTCTAACTACTGTGTGATTCTTCTCATGTCAGAGTCTCATGTTAGGTTTCTTTATGCGATTGTAATTTGTTTTGCTAAAGAATAATCTCCTGCTTATTTTAATTGGAGCCAAGACTTAATCGTTGAAATTGATCTCCATGCTAAGGCTTAATGATGGATGGAGCTAATCAGCAATGCTTTTGAGCATTTGCAGAATGTTCTGTCACATGACAAACAGAAAGAATGCCCGCAATAATGGCACATTCAGAACATCTATCACAAGCCTCTCTCAAGTTTAAAGATTAAATATTGAAAATAACAGACTAGTGACATCTGTGTAAAGTAGGTAGGCTCAGGAAAGAGATGGGCAAAATGTGGTCCTCTGATGATGTTGGATTGGAAGTCCCAAAATTCCTCACCATTGGCTATGCTCACTAGGATTGATGGGAATTGCAGCCTGACAACATCTAGAGGGGTGTCCCATGCCCACGCCAAGTCTTCCTAATCTTGGTCCAGAAGTGTCATCTTAGGGGATACCTGCAAGAGAGGCCTGCATGAGTTCCCACACCTTTAAACCAGGGATAGGGAATCTTTTGAAGTGTTTTGGAGTATAACAACTCCCACAGTGTCTTGCCATGGGCTCTGCTGACTGGGGCTTCTGGGAAAACCAAAGGTCATATAGCTCTGTTTTCATCATTGTGCTAAAGAGATGCTAACCCCGCTTGAGAACGATGACTTGACAACCTATGCTTGTGAAGGGTGCCTTTTCTGTGGTGTTAAAGAGACAGAGATGTCCTAGCCTTCGCGATACATTGCATAAAAGATCCAGTATAGTTTAGTGGGTGAAAAGGTTGACGAACACCCAGGAGATCTCTCTGTTCCACCTACTGGATGATGTTGGGCTGATCATCCTCTTTCAGCCTGGACTACCTAGAAGGGTTGTTGTGGAAATAAACTGTGAAGGAGGAGAATTGTATGCTGCCTCGAGCTCCTCAGAGGAAATGCAAGATGCAAATATAACGAATCTCTGTAGGCATTCTTCAGTCTTGAGGGTCTATGGTAATGTACTCTGAATAGAGGTCTTGGAACAGCATCCAGTGTGGCTGAGAAGTCCAATACAAGAGTGACAGTCCCTTCCACACTGAAGACAAATACAATCTGTCCCCTGTCCAGCTCCCTGATTTTGCTGGTTTGGGG